TTAATGACACAATATGTTTTGTGATATATAACAGAAATAGTGATGAATATAAATGGTTTTTGTTTCACACGAGCCGGTGGCGTTTGGCGGACGGCCTATTTTTGAACTCGTGGGAAGATTTTGAACCGGTCACGCTACAAGCAATAAGAGAGAATCCATTCTTCAAGAGTGTGACACCGTCTATTTACCCAATTGGACCGGTGATTAAACAAGAGGAACCTGATGAATCAGCCGCGGAATACATGTCATGGCTGGATAAGCAACCACCAGACTCCGTTGTCTTTGTAGCGCTTGGTAGTGGGGGAACTTTGTCAGGGGAGCAGATTATTGAGTTGGCTTGGGGTTTGGAACTGAGTCGGCAACGATTCATATGGGTGGTACGTAAACCAACGGAAGCTTCTAGTTCAGGTACGTGCATATACAAATTTCAAATTTGTAGATATTTTTTTGTAAATTTGAGCGCACTGAGTTCTTGTTTATTGGTTCAGGTACATTTTTCAATGTGGGAAGTGATACAAATAGCCCAGAGGAGTATCTTCCAGCAGGGTTCCTGGAGAAGACACAGGGAGTGGGAGTGGTGGTACCATCGTGGGCCCCCCAAGTGCCCGTGCTCCACCATCCATCAACAGGCGGGTTCATAACTCATTGTGGATGGAATTCAACGTTGGAGACTATAGTTCACGGCGTGCCAATGATAGCGTGGCCTCTCTACGCGGAGCAAAAAATGAACGCAACGGTGCTAGCGGAGGATATTGGAGTAGCCATTAAACCGAAGGTGAAGACGGGACAGACGGTGGTGGGACGGGAACAGATAGCGAGAGTGGTGAGGATGGTGATTGAGGGTGATGAAGGAAATACAATACGACGTCGGGTTAGGGAACTGAAGGAAACTGCCACAAAAGCACTGGATGCCGGTGGGTCATCGCATGAATCGGTCTGTCGGGTGGTGGAGGAATGGAAGGCGCTGAGCTGACTTTGGATTTGAAGACGTAACAGGTGGTTAGTTCCCATTGAACGTATTAGACTATTAGCATTCACCGGATGAATAAAAAGTGAAATAAATTTAGTTATTTTCACCAGTTATTGATGGCAGGCACCAAAAGAATAGAAGCCTTCCGGTGCCTTAGCTAAGATGTGCCCAAGATTACCCCCAAGTTATTGCTGGGTTTTTTTTTCTTTTTTTCTTTTTTTATCAAATAAAAATTGTATAAGAAGAGATTATCTTCTCCTCATAAATTATTATTATTATTTTTTTTAAAACTGATTTTACAAGAGGCTGAGTTCGAACCCCAGCCTGAGGGAGGGGAATGCACCATGGGTGGCTATTGCCATTTGGTCCGAAAGGCTCTGTGCCCTCATAAATTATTATTGATGTTAGTTTGTTTATATATATATATATTTATATTTATATATGTATGCAAAGATTACGAATTAGAACTTATATTTGGTAACTAAAAACATAGGTAATCTATTACCACAGCACATAGTCAATAGTTGCATGTTTGCCAACTAAATACTGCAGCCTCCAGTTTTTGTGCAGAGATTAGGAATTAAATGTTGTAGGTGCATGATCCTTCCCTCAACCAACGAGAGGTTGGATCAAGTGACAAGCAGTTTGTTCCAGCTTAAACAAGATCTCGAGTTCGAAACCTTGTGTACGCAGCAGCTTTCGTTGGGAGACCCACCCACCATTCTGGTGCACCACAGCTGGTCGAGTCCGGAGTAGTCGGGGCGAAGCCCCAGATACCGAACGGGAAACCAAAAAAAAAAAATGATCCTTCCCTCAAATCAAATAATATGGATATTAAGGTAGGTAAATTTATGAAGGTAAAAAACTAATAGAGATATAATAATATATTATAATTTTAAA